ATATATATATATATATATCATATGCTTGTGTCTTTCTTTTATTTTCCATTGCCCATAGTTTGTTTCATTCTCTTAACTCATAAAAATGTATTGTCCTGGACATGTGAACAATCTTATTCTGCCTTCATTTCATATACCAAGGAAACAAACAATTTTATTATAGTAACATTTTTAGGAATCCTCTTTTCTATACTCCTTTCTAGAAATCTCACACCCTGCACCTGGCCATACCAGGGCCAACGTATACTTTATAAAATTTCCCCTTCCTAGTAAGCCCTTCTGTGCTCCGCCTACTCTCACCATTCACTCAGCAGAATTTTTATCTTCCTTCGCTTTATTTCACTTCCCACCACTGATCACACTCTGACATTGCAAACATTCACGTGCTTTGTGGATCACCTTTCTCGAACCAGTATAGCCCAAGCTCCATGTGGAAGGTTATCCTCAGTTTTCTCCCTGCTTCATCATCAGCTGCCAGAGTATCTAGATCTGTGCCCGGCACATTTCAGTCACTGGCAATGCATGACAGACGACTGAAATAAAGTGCTAATGGTGCCAAATAACTCAACAGCCTGAAAAGAACCTGATTTAAAAATCACTGGAGTAGAGTAACACAGGAAAAGAGAAATACTCTCACTGGCCTGAATCCACATATTTATATATTTTAAATATCTTTCAGCCAAATACTCAAACATTTGTGTCTTCTCAGTGCCAATAATAGAGGATTAGCCATATGATGAGAAACCTTGTTTATAAAACTATATTCATCATTTCATATAGTCTGTGTGATTTTGATGCATAAGAAATTTGTAGGGAGTTTTGATGGCTAACAAAATGAACTTAATGAATTTCGTATATTTATTAGAAGTTATAAGATTAATGAGCTATCTCACATTTCTCCTTACTAATAAGAAATAGAGCACAGGAAACATTTTAGAGACCTCTGACTGGGGTGAGAACCCGAGACTCTGATGTGAAGAGTCTATTATGTTCTCCCCACTGAGCCCAGATGAGAAAATGCTCTCAGTGATCCATTCTCAATTTCTTTGCAGATATGTACTTCCTTGTTCGCCTGACCTCCAAAACTAAGACGCCAAAACACAATGCCTACCCTGAGTGGTTAGTCAGAGGCTACTGCCAGACTACAACTAAAACACAAAGGAAAAAAACGTGATGAATAAAATTCTCCACCTGTGAATAGACCATTTACATGATGAATAAATATGCTATATTGTTATATAGAATCTAGGTTTGGTGGGAGCTTGGGGGAGAAAGTATTTGTTTGTATTGTCTGAGAACCAGGGAGTCTCCTGTTAATTTGGAGCAAGATAACCAAATAAGGTTAATTATGTAACAGAGACATGTCTGTCAAATTCGTCTCCATGCCATATGGCTCTTTGATGATCTTTAAGCAGGAAGCTACCTTGAGGACAATGAAATCACATACAGCATATGGGCAAGATAAACAATCTTCGGAGGCAGAAATTGCAAAGTAAAGAAAGCCTTCAAGTTGCCATGTATTTCCTTGTCCTCATCTCACAGAGGTTTCAAAAATAACAAAGAAACTCACATTTTTGTGGTTCACACACTTCATAAGGACCAGTTCCCGGTAGGCTCTCTTGGCATGAGTTTGGTTCTGAAAGGGTCTGCTGAGCTTCTTAATGGCCACATTTCTGTCCAGGACAGCATCATACGCAGCACTGCAGAGACAGAAGAGCAACCCAGAATGAAAAGCAGAAGATGCCTGCCCACTTAACTGAAGGATAGGTAAAGAAAATGCTATGCAGGCACCCTACTGGGATACCACTTTCTCTGGTCACATGACAATAGGCTGTAAGTAAAGTTACTGGTCCAAGAAGAAGGAGAGGGAAGGAGAGTAACAGCAAAAGAGGGAAAGGAAGGATATTATCTTACTAAGAATACAGCATATAATTGCATTAGTAAGTTGGAGATGAGGAGAAAAGAAAGAAAAGTGTCTGTAGGCTCTGTGACTATGTCAAATCATATCATCTTTCTGGGCGTAGATTCCTCATCTATTAATAAATAATATTTAAGTATTCTTCAGACATAAATTCCCTAGGCTCTTTGGTTATTTTAAGTGAACACTCATTCTTTTCCCAGCCACAGGAACCTGTTTTTAAGATGTGTTGCTACTTGCCCTGAAAGCACAGGTTGATTGATAATCAAAGTGGGCTCATTAACAATGAAAAAACGCAAAATAAGGATGCATTCAGAGCTTTCAGAACCACAAATAACTTCACTGCAATACAAAGACAGAAATAAACACTGCTAACATTTGAAGTTTTGAGCTGTGTGAGAGTAATTTACCATACTGTGAAAAATCCAAACATACAGTAAGGTTTCTCTTCTATTCAGAATTCATGGGTCAGGAGATCAAATGAACAAACAAGAGGGTCTTCTCGCTACTATACAAAATGCTGCAGTCACAAAACGTTTGCCTGCTTTCCCTGCAACTCCGAGTTTTGCTTGATTTAGGTTTTGTCTTAATTTCCAGAAGAAGGGCAGAAACCAGATCAGTTATGACTGATCTGTTAAAGTGCAAGTGACACCATTTAAGGCTCATGCTACTGAACTAAAAGACAACAATGGGGGAATTACTGTGCTATATAGTAAAGACAGACTCACACGATAAGTTTGGACAGTCTTGGTATTCATCTGGTCCATGTCTCCATTTAGTATTCATTTCACTCTAAAATACCTCTACCAAAATTTCGTTCATCTCTGCTTAGGTACCTTCAAAGGCAAGACTCCTTTAATAGCAAGGAAGCTCATTCTGTTATTAAACAGCTTCGAGAGTAGAAATGCCACCATTTTAATAAGCAGAGGTTTCTCTCTATGGATTTCACTGACTACTATTAGCCCCGATTGGCCATATAGCTTGAAACCCACTGAAGGAGACTGGACAATGGCTGGCCTAGGGTAAGCGGTCAGTAACTCTTAGCTTTTATTATTTCCCCCTAGTTTCTTTCTTTTCTGATTTTCCTTTCACCAAATGTCTTATCGCTGTTTGTCAAAGTTATTTCAAGTCCCACCTAATCTGTTCAGCCTGTCCATGTTCTATGAAAATGTGGACCTTGAACTAAATAAGACATTTCATGGAGGATTGGTATGGCTTTCAGTTCCTTCGTACATTCATAGGTTCATTCATTCAACAACCCTCTTCTGGCACAGTTAATGCAGCAAAGTCTGACCTGGCATCTTGATAGCATCATACGTGATCCACCTACAGTGAACCTGTGTTAATTATAAATGCTGTCCTTTAGAAATGTGTGCTCCTATTATATTACACGTGTCGGCACTGATATTTCCGTTCTAATGCTTGTTCATTTTAACATCCCAACGCAGCACAGGTAAAGAAAAGGGTCAAGTGACTTATCTCTCATGAGTAACACACAAGGACAAGAAAGAATATAGGAATTAAACTTTCAGAAGTTCAGTAATGTGTCAGCAGAAAACTGATAGGCCACCTTAAAGAAGACTGAATTGTAAGCCAAAACCAAGTCCTTGAAGCTATTTTAAAAGAGAGAGAGAGAGAGAGAGAGAGAGAGAGAGAATGGCAGCCACTTCCAAAGTCTATCCAAGAGTAAGAGACACAGTTAACGGCCAAATAAGAAACTGTCCTTACAAGTCTGTAGGGTTCCAATCAGCCAGGCAGAGAGCCACCCCCTACTGTGATGGCCAGAGGCTGCAGGCCCTTAGCCTTCTGATTAGAGCCTTCTGGAGCTGTTTCTGTCCTTCCCTGTCCGCATTCTGCTTGCTGGGTTCTCCCTGACAATGTTGCGTACAAAAGTATTGCCCATATTTGGTCATCATGACTGCTACATTTCTCATAATTTAATAAACCCACGTCTGGTTTTCATATTTCATATGAGATATTTTGAAAATAAATGTCCTTGAATTTGTTCAATGTAGGACATGATAAAACAAAAATTCTGATGGCGTATGCAACAGTCAGACATGTGCCTACTGATTAGAAATATCTAGTCTTTCTACTAATTACAAATACACTTGTGCAACCATCTTGATCACATTTCTTAAGTTTGTCCCATAATAGTAAAAAAAGTCTGAAAAAAAAGCCTGGTTGAAATCTAGATGCAAGGACAAAGGGAAAAAATGAGAATCAAGACCTGTCATGTAAAGGTACAAGATCCCAATGATGAATGTAACTGTACTGTACACCTAGATTGTACCAATAAGCTCAATGAGAGGGGAAAAAAAGAAATCTAGATAGATTATAACCATGCAGTTCTCTAACTTCCTACTTAAGCAGGCAAACTGGTATCATTTGTTTTTAATGAGACCTTTATTTCCAGTTATCTCTGCACATTTTCTTAATGGCTCACTGAGAATCTTTTTCTAGTGAATGTCAGCTTCAGTAGATATTTCTTTTAAACAATCTTTCTCCCCTCTAAAGAAATATGAGCTCTGCGGTCATGTGGAATACTATGGGTTGGCTCACGGAATGCCACTTTACCCCTCCTAGGATGCCTCCCTTACGAAAGAGATTTCAGAGCCCCATGTGCAACCCCAGTGCTAGGGTAGAGCTAGCATGCTTCATCTAGGGAGGTCCTGCACATGCCCCAGGAGAGGCAGACAAGGCAGAGGTGAGGGTGCCCATCTCCTGCAGCAGAGTCTGAAGCACATATGACGTTCTCCAGCTTCCTGACTGAAAAAGGAGCCAAGGCAGAGGAAGCAGTGACTCCAGGCTCCAGTGCCCAGACTGCACAGAATGCAGGAGTGACTAGTAATACCGAGAGCCCAGTTGCAGTTTCAGGACTCTAAGATCAACTATGATCTGTGCTCTGGGAACTCAGGGTTCTGGGTACTCACAGAGTGCAGCTATCTGGGGATTCCACTCTCCAGAATTTAGAACAACCAGGCTAAAACCTTTTTAGTGGTTTTTCAGGCATCCACTTTAATGTATTAAATAAAGCTCTGCAGGCTGAAATGTCTCTCCTGCGAAGAACCCTAGGTGGCATCGCCATCCCCCAACCTCCCACATCCCTCAAGGGTTAAGGGCAGCAGTTCAGGGAATGCCGTATGCTAGCAAATGGCATCCTTGATGCTGTGCAGGCCCAAATGCATGTCTGACACTGTCCTATTACTCTTAAATCATCATGTTTTTAATAAATCTTGTTCCATGGAATCTTATGTTTTTTCTTACAGCAGCTTCCTCTCTTATCTTCATGAACATAAAAATGGAGGCAAATCTTTATGAATATTTTTCAGCAACTTTCTAGAAATTTTGCTGAAGGCACAGTCTTCCAGAAACTCATTCATATGCATTACTAACCCACTGCCACTACTACCAGCTCTATTCCAAAAAGAAAGATGCAGCCTGCTGTTATTTTATCCAGTTAGAGGATGCTGTAAAGCTATGTTTATTTCCTTGTATAAATTTGCATGCAGGCACACACATACATACACACATGCACACACACACAACTTGCGGGCAAGTCTTATTCTCAACAGATTTATCGGCTTTTTCTTCTCCCATTTGCAGATAACTTTTGACATAAATCTTTTTTCTGAGGCACAATAATTTATTTGATAATTTTTTCTTATTCACTTTATCTTTCACATTTAAAAATGTTCCTAAACATAAAAACAAATTGGAGGGGGAAAAGAGATCCCTGTGCATCATGAGAAGATCTTTCTTTTAAACAACAACACAAATATCACTGAAGCTTCTTGAACATCTTATGCCATGGACTAGCAAGTCCAGTTCTGTCCTGAAATACTGTACACGGCAACCTTATTCTCTGATCCCATATATCCACATTTTAACTTCGATTTTTTTTTCCGAAGGCCCGGGCTTCAGTTGAAAACTATCAACAAAATCTTCATCCATTGTCCTCAAAGATATGATGCCTATGACCAAACATTACGAGCTGTATTCAACCTTTGTGAACTGTGTCATTGGACCTGCCAACCTCACTTCTGCCTGGGGCATTTGTAGTTGTTCCTCTTCCTGCCAATGGTTGTCACAGCCTCAGGAAACCGGCCTCATCTCCTAGCTCAGGTTTCAATCCAAATAGCTCCTCAGAGAGGCCTTTCTTAGTCACCTCCTCACAGGACAACAATTGAGTTTTGGTTAGTTTGTCACTGAATTATTGGGCTGCACTGGTTCAGTTCTATATACTGAGGAAACTTTTGATGACAAATAATGCAATTCTGACTAATAGTGACTTAAATAATGGAAATGCTCATTATGTCACATAACAAAAAGTGTAGCAGACTTTTCTAGCTTTCAGGCTTGCATTAACTTTTGTATGCTCTGGACACTTCTGCCTTGTAATTTTTTATGAATTGATGCTCAGCATGTTAATATTTTTTAAAAATCAGTAATAATAGAAACTCATTGGTGCTTTCAAAGGAAGTAGTGTCATACTGTGGTGCCTTAAGATTCCCCATCAGGAATTAACCCAGACTTTGGAAGTGCTTTTGGCAGAAAGTGCCCCCAGCACTTAGCTACTTCGGGGTATGACCTCAGCTGATGACAGCCACCTAGCCCAAGGTTACCCCTTTCCATAGACAGCCTTCACTCGGTGATTGACGGGGATTATAAAAGTCTGGCTACCTCAGTCTAAATTGGGAGAGCTGGTCAGGCTCATTTTATCTTCAGGATTCCCAGAAAGTTCAGTCAACGGTTCCAGTAAGATTGAGAGTAATTGAGTTT